AGACTGAAGGTTGTTGAATTGCTGCTTATCAAAGGAGCTGATGTGTCTGCAAAGGATGATGGCGGTAAATTAGTCAGTATCTCAAGAATTTTTCTTTTGTTGAATTTTTTTGTTTTGTTTTTGGAGTACTATTATTACGGGTTGTCCAACTGACAGCATTTTTGCTCTATGCTCAGGTCTAATTCCACTGCACAATGCTTGCTCTTTTGGTCATACAGAAGTAGTTCAACTTCTTTTGGCTGCTAATTCTGACCCAAATGCCCAAGACAATTGGCATTATACTCCTCTGCATGAAGCTGCGATTAAGGGGAAAGTGGATGTTTGCATTTTACTACTTCAGGTGAGCTCTACCCTATTCATGTTTATGTTGTGTTTGATTATCGGCTTACTCATAGTGTGACCCACTTGTCCGGAGCCATAGAGAAAATAATGGTAAAATTGTGAAGTGTGTTTATCTCTATATCAATGTGATCTTTCCTAGTTGTCGTTTTAGGTATCACATTGACTCTAGCTAAATGAATGAACTGGCTGAATCATCTAGTACGGTCGAGTAGATGGTCTAATGGACAAAATATGAATGTGAGTTAGGTGAAGAAAAAGTGATCGATTTGTCGGATTTGAGCTTCCTCTCCTGTGGGTATAGATGTATCCTACACATACATTGGCAAAATAGTATTTTACCGTTAGATGGACTGAGGCGATTCCCGGAGGGGACGGTTAAGTCATAGCACAAGTGATGAACGTGTGATCGAGATCATTTTGTGTGTCACAACGCCTCTCAGATTAGCTAAAGTAGGAATCAGGTGAGAATGTGTAAGTTGGATGGATGCATTCCTGCATCAATAACTAGGAGGTTTGAGTGGAGGCAGGTGACTGCACCCACGATAGTTGTATGAATCGAGTGTTTGATGTACAAACAGGAGGTCGGATGTAGTAAATTTCCATTTCTTTGAGTGTGAAGAGTGCACCGTTGAGGTGTTAAAAGGCGGACAAAGAGGCATATTGGTGCTTTGGAAATAGGTGAATGATTATATACTGGATGGATGGATGCTAATATCACATCAGTAACTCGTGCGTTAACGCATAACAGATATCTTCCGATTGAAGTGGTTTCAACGCGTAGTGGTAGGGAATGACTATGTCCAGGAGCTCTCCTTCAACCCAACACTTCAATGAAAGGGCAATTTGTTATGCATCATCTCCTCTTTGGTAACTATGGCTAAACTCATTTCCTGAGTTTGTTGGTACTACGCACAGTGGACAAGCTTTATTGAAAAGCTTTGAAAGCTTATTTTAAAAGCCGAGTTCAGTGATAAGTTGAATAGACTTTTGTAGGTAAATGGTTGAGTACGATACGGTTAAACAAAAGGTATGAACTGGAATGCATAAATGCGTTGCTAATTGCTGGATTAATTACTGATGTACGAGACGATGGACGAGTTAATGGATTTGGGGTTGGTAGGTAAATGGATGTATGAAATGCGTTGTGATTACTGGGTAGATTGGCAAAGTGGAGGTGGATGTAAGAAGGAAGTTGCTAGCGTCTGCTTCTCCTTTTGCAGGCCAAAGCCGACCCCTATCTCCGTAACCTCGATGGAAAGACACCTCTTGATTTTGCCGAGGGTCCGACAGCGCAAGTGTTGGTGGGAGATTTTCGAAAGACCGAACTTCTGGAGGCTGCACGGACAGGAAAGGAAGACAAACTGGTATCGCTGCTAACACCACAAAATGTCAATTGTCATGCGGATGATGGGCGGAAGTCCACTCCTCTCCACCTCGCCGCGGGGTACAATAGGTAGGAGGTAGCAGTCGTGTCATTATCAGTAACTTAATCACGTGTCGCCAGCATAAAATGCTAATGTGAAGCGATCCCCCATTTTTGACCTTCTGATGCCATTGGCGATAGCCGTTGTTTTCAAAGGTTTCAAAACGACTTGTAGCTTTCGACCGTCTCCCAGAACATTTTAAAACCTGTCGCAGCATTTTAAAACTAATTCAAAAACTGTTTTAATGTAACGAGGTTCGTTAATGTCATAGAATGCTTTCGAGTTTCACTGTTCCATCCTATTATTCGCATCTTTCGGGGTGGCCACCACTCAAACTATTTATTACCTTCATTATGTTTCTTCTTCTCCATCGGAAAGGATTTATCTCTTTTATTTGTCCACGCGGCATTTTATAGGTTTGGAGTGAATCTGGGCTTTCTAACTGGTCATTGGGATTGTCACTGACAAAATAGGGACTGTTTTTAAAGTGCCTGTGCGGTACGGTAGCGTGAGCATCAGCGGTTATGGAAGAGCTACACGGTGGAGATAAAGTTGGGTGTTCGTTATGCTTCCAGTATCTACTCCAAACTTAGCCTGATCCCTCTCGTATTTCTCTCTCTATTCCAGCAGAAGCTGGGATTTTTTCTTTCATTTTGCAAGGAAGACATTAGATTATCCAGCAAGCAGCCGCATTTGAGGTTCATTTGTGGTCACTCTCTGAACTTTAACTTTTTCATACAAGTTGACAAAATAACCAAGTGATTTGTATGTTAATTACTGAGTGCCACGTTAATGCATTTTATTCATAAATATAATCATCACTACGGTACGTCATCCCTTCTCTAACTTACAATAAATTTTGGGATGCTGCTTCAAATGGAAGTTAAGAAAATCTCCAATTTTGATCACATTTAACTTCAATTTCCAAACTGTCCACTTGGTATTTGGTTGCTAAAACCGAAGAAAAGGTGATGCTCATTATCCATAAAATTATTATTGAGGAGGGAATGCGATGGATGAGCTAGTCTCCCTTTATCCACCGCTGGGTGCAAATCTTCCCACCACTAGATGCTGCAGCACGAAGTATGCGAGAACTTGCCTCATTTACTGAGTCACTAGGTCTACCTATTTGTCAGTGAAGGAGGTATTTTTAACCCGTCGCACATAGAAAATGTGGGGTGAACATCTGGGCTTGAAGTGTGCCACACGAAGGTCCATACGAAACAATATGAGCATAAGAATGGAGTGGTACGGGACACAGGAGTGCTGGGAGCGTGACATGCGTGCGTTGTTGGGCGCCAAATGTGTTGCCACCGCTTTTAGTAGTGAGATGGCATACCGAGGATGCACTCATTCATCAGTGGAATTTTTTTGGTGGTGTAAACGTTTCGACGGCATTCATGCATCTTCCACTATTTAGGTTCTCAGCTAGCCTTATAAGGATTTGGCCGTGGTATGAAGTTTGAACAATTTTAATAAGATAACCCACTTTGGTCACCGAAATAGGCAGCCTTAGGCAGGCCGGCGTAGTCGTGTCGTAAGGTGGAGTCCCCCCAAAGCCTTTAAACTCACCTGAGATTATCTTCTTGGTTGTCGAATATTGACCTCGAATTTAGCATTGATCAAATTGAACAATAAAACGCATAGCTGCAATATGTGCAGGTGTCTTTCTCCTTCACCTCTCTCAAATAGAACTCGGATCGTGCAGATCCTGTTAGCTGCAGGTGCGGACGTTCGGGCTAAGGACAAGGGCGGTCTCATTCCCTTACACAACGCTTGTTCCTATGGTCACTTGGAGGTTTGTGAGATGCTCATTTCTGCCGCTACTGCTGCTGTTGCTGGTGGTGGTAGTGGTAGTGGTGGTGGCGGTGGTGGATCTCCAACTGTTCCTGGTGAATCTCTTACCCAACAAGTTCATGCTGCTGATCTATGGCACTACACTCCACTTCACGAGGCAGCAAGCAAGGCGAGAGCAGAAGTTTGTTCTCTCCTATTGGCTCATGGAGCAGATCCCTATCAGCCAAACATTCATGGCAAGACGGCATTGGATTTGGCGCCTTCTAGAGAGCTGAAGCAGAGAATTGTGTATGAACGGAGGGGTGAGTGGAGAGTAAACCTTCCTCTTTTGTGTTCATCATTTCCTCACAACAATGCGCGACTGTATTCATCCTTAGTATTACTTCGAGAAGTTTATAACTTAAGAAGGTCATTTCTCTCGTTTGTGCGCCATCAACTCATTTGTCCACCCATACTTTGACCCATCCCCACATCTACTCGTCCATCCTATTTCCGCTAATCCATCCAGCCATTATCTTGCACTGAAACAATTTTCAAAGTCACAAAAGTACTTGTGTCTGGTTGCAAAGATAGAAGTTTTGTACATGTAATCATTGATGGAA